AGCTAACTAATACATTCACTTCCCTTGTAGTCACTCTCTTATTTATTAGTATCATGGAAGAGTGAAGACTGGACAGAGCCAAAGACTCGGAATAGCACTGGGTAGGAGGCCTAAGGAAGAGACTGACAGCTGCCCAGGAGGTCAAGCCTGGGCCAAGGCCTCACTGCTCTTGAGCTCCTCGCCTCAGTCTTTGCCTTCCGGAGCTGATCCTGAAACCCGCGTGCTGCTGCTGGGGCCTCAGGTTTCTTGAGTCTCCACGCTCCTAGCCCCACCCTGCTGAGCATCCCTCCTACACTTCAGGCTTTCACTTCAGGCTTTCACTCCTGGTGCCTCCCTGCTTGGAAAACTTCCCCCAGCTCCGGTCCAAGCCTTGAAACACGGTTTACTAACCCAGCCGGCCTGGTAGCAGAAGGAACAAAATGCTAATAAAAGCATGAGGCTTCTCAGAACATTCTCCGGTGAGAGTGTTGTCTCTGCACACACACACAGTGCCTGCCCTGTCTGAACTTGAACTCCATTAAACGCAAAATTAGTGCCCACCTTGTGGAGTTGTGTGGAACATACAGAATGCTCAGCAGAGTTAGCAAGCAGTTCATAGGAATAGCTTATGCAATATTTACTATACACTGAGCACTCCGTGTGTTAACTTTTCATGAAACAGAAGTTGGAGTTTTAGGAAGAAAATATGTATGTTAATTTACATCATCCTCACAATGCTGTAAGAGAAATACCACACCATGCCCTTCTTTTCAACTTATAGATAAGGAAATTGAGACACAACCATCTCCATATAATATATGTATGTATACCACATGTGTGTCCAGTGCCCTAAGAGGCCAGAAAGCATTTCAGATCCTCTGGAACTAGAGTTTTAGATCCTTGTGAGCTGACTTGTGGATGCTGGGAATTGAACCCAGACCCTCGAGAGGGGTAGCAAATGCCCTTAACCACTGAGCCATCTCTCTAGCTTTATGGTTTATGTGTATGGGTGTGAACTTCCATGAGTATATGTGTATCATGTGCATACATGAGCCCCTGGAAGTCTGAAAGTTCTCAGATCCCCAGAAACTAGAATTACAGGTGGTTGTAGATGGCCATATGGATGCTGGAACTGAATCCCGGTTCTCTGCAGGAGCAGTAAGTGCTCTTAACTACTGAACCACCTCTCCAGCCCCAGTTATTAGATTCTCTGTTATGTATTTATTTATTTATTCATTCATTCATTTATTTTGAGACCAGTTCTCACCATGTAGCCTTGGCTTGCCTGGAGCTCACCATGTAGACCAGGCTGGCCTTGAACTCACAGGGATCAACCTGTTTCTGCCTTCCCGGTGCTGGGACTACAGGCCTATGCCACAATACTTGGTTCTAGTTTTTATTATTATTTCCTTAGTACTTTCAGAGATGAGAAAATGTCTAAGATCCCACAGATTTCAAGAGATTTCTGTTTCCTCCCCAAAAATAAATTCCCCCTTCCTTTAGGGAACTATCACAGGAAAGAAAAACAATTTTGCTTCTAAAATCTAAAAGCTTTGATTTCCCTAGGCAGGATCAGCCCTTCCAGGCTCTGAGTTGAGACCACTCTGCTGTGTTACATCTGAAAGCCTCACCCCTTTGGACTGTGAGATGGAGTGGGTAGTGCGTGCTTTCCTGGGTGGAGCTGAGAACACAGGGTGAGATGTCCTGAGATAAAGCACACTGCGCACTAGAAGGACCTGTCTGTCTAAAGAGGAAAAAAAAAAAGAAGAAGGGCTCTTCATCTGTAACCCTTTCCAATCCCAGCCATCCTAGTGGAAAGTCTTTCTGTGCCTGCCAGACCTCAAGCTTGTTGTGGAAAAAAACAGAGGCATTTATGGGGAAATGAAACCACCCTCCTCAGCAGAATGGTCCCCCACACACTTGCTGTGGTACAAGGGCTGCTACTCTGCAGAGAGCATTCAGCCTCAGGAGGCCCTTGAAGCTGCCTGCCGCCACAGGGCGATTCAGAGGCTGGTAAACAGCACATGGCATTCCAGTTCTGTGGTAAGCATTCATGCACAGAATTCTTTGTCCTCATGAGGAAAGACAGAAAGCTGCTGTGTGCTGCAAAGCCCTAGGCCAGAGCCCCATTTTCAAAATCCCCAACCAGAGACCATGCCAAGGCCAAGCATGCCACCAGCCTTTAAAGCACACTTGCGAAATAAACTTGCCCAAACTTGGACTTCTGGCTTGAAAACTTAGATTGGCTTGTTAATTCTGAAGGGGCAACATGGCAAGATTACAAGGAAGAGGTCTGGCAGGCTCCTGCTTAACTGGAGCTAGCACACGTCTGTGCCTTCCGAAGGATGAGCTAAAATGCACCCAACGTTACTTCTGGGAGTGTCCTCCCCGCAAATGCATTACCCGATGTGATCATGAGGACATCATCAGACACACCAGACCAAGGCACATTGCTACAGAACAACTGGGCCCATTCCCTTCAAAAATATCAGTGCCAGGGCCAGCAAGAGGGCAGCAGGTAAAAGTACCTGAGGACCTGAGTTTGATGCCTAAGAACACGTGGTCCCCTAGTGCCGAGGTGTGTCCTCTGACTTCCACGCTCGAGCCATGGCGCGCCTGAACTATAAAGGGACTTTGCAGGCCAACCTGACTTACATCGTGAGACCTAGGTTGAAGCAATAGTAGCTCACAACTGTAATCCCAGAATCTGAGAGGCTGAGGCAGGAGGATTAGCATTAGTGTGAGGCCAAGCATACACAGGGAGTTTCAGGGCAGCCTAAGCAATAAGGGTAAGACTCTGTGTCCGACAGCATTAGAAACAAAACAAAGCAGTAGATTGAAGCAATGGAGAAGAAGACAACTAAATTCCAAGGAGGAGTCAGAGATGGCTGAAGCCTAGCTGGGAGAAAAGGTCAGCTCTGTTAAGGAAACTAGAGGGGTAATCAAGAAACCTAGGAATGGATGATAAAAATTGAGTGGTAGGTCAATGTGAGACTCACTGAATTATTATGTCAGGGTTGCAGAAGGAGATGTCCACATATACTCAAGTACTTGGGGGTTAAAGTGCTATGACATGCAGCCAGTGCTTAAACAGTCCAGCAAAAAATAATGATCATTATAGTATCTGTATGGAGAGATATTAAAGTAAATGAGGAAATCATTTAAGAATTGGAGAATATGTGCCAGGCATGATGGCACGTGCCTTTAATTCCAGCACTCGGGATGCAGAGGCAGGCAGATCTCTGAGTTTGAGGCCAGCCTGATCTACATAATGAGTTCCAGGCTAGTCAGGGCTACATAGTGAGACCCTGGGGGCTGGGGGTGGGGGGAGGTAGGAAGGTGGTGATGAAAGGAAGGAAGGATGGAGGAGGAACCAGCATCCTCAGTTGCATGCTTAGCTGAGTCTCCTGGGTTGCATTTCCTAACTTCATAGTTAAGATGGCACTCTGAAATGAGATGCGTGTATTAGCCTCGTGCAAGCCCTGGTAGGGGCTGCCCATTTTGGCCAGGAGGCTGGAGACTTAGCTATACTTCAACACTGACACTTCTGTTCAAAACATTTCAGACAATTCCCTGCCACACAGGAAAATAATTACTCAGGATTACCTTGCTTTTCACCCAAACCGATCCATCCACCTAACTCATCCATCATGGACGGTGGGAAGCGGGGAGAACCTAGAGCCTTATCCACATTACCAGGGAGAAAAGAGAGGCTCACAATGGACCCTAATGGACCCAACACGAGAGATTAATCCCAGTGACTCCCAGGCCAGTACTCTTTTGAGGATCCTGGGAACTCTGCAGTATCTTCCAGTCCCTTTGGCTCTTTGCAAAAATGAGAAAATTTTATGTTTCCCCAAGGAAATTATCTTTGTTTTTCCTTTTTTAAACTTAACCCCCTTCTCACATTTTGTGTGTGTGTGTGTGTGTGTGTGTGTGTGTGTGTGTGTGTGTGCATGCACACCTGAAAGTAAAGAACAATCTGCAGGAGTCAGTTCTCTCCTTCTACCTGTGGGTCCCAGGGATCAAACTCAGGTCATCAGGCTTCACAGCAATCACCCACTGAGCCACCTTGCTCATCCAAATTATCCTGTTCTTAATGTATAGTTAACTCTGAGTGCAATTACAACAGAGAAAGAACAAATGAATTGATGTACAATTGGACAACTTGGGTAGCTCTACCCAGGGAATCTTTCCCATATCCCAGAGGTTATCTTCCCAACAGTGTGCATGGGGAGGCCCCATCTCTGGACGTGATGGTTCACACTTGTAAGCCCAACACTCAAGCTGCTGAAACAGGAAGATTGTCTCAAATTCAAGGCCACCTCATACTATATAGTGAGCTCCAGGACAGCCTCAGATACTTGGCTACAGTGTATGTCAAAATACAAAACTCTTATCTCAAAAATACAAAAATAAAAAAAAAAATCCTTCTGCCTCCACCTCCATGTGCTGGGATTGCAGTTGAGAACCACCACACTGGGTCTTATGAGTTTCTGAGGACTTAACCCAGGCTCTCATGCACACCAGCCACGCACTCTGTGAACTGAATTCCATCCTCAGCCCCACCCCAACCCCCTTTTAAGGCCTTGCTCATGCTAAGGTAAGTATTCAATAGTGAGTTATAGCCACTCTTAATTGCTCAGCAGTGAGGCAGCCAATCTCCCATGAGCATCAAGAAGCAAGGACTTCTTTCTGGTACCTGTGCAAATATCATGCCTTAAAGCCACCAGCAGCCGGGCGGTGGTGGCGCACGCCTTTAATCCCAGCACTCGGGAGGCAGAGCCAGGCGGATCTCTGTGAGTTCGAAGCCAGCCCAGGCTACCAAGTGAGTTCCAGGAAAGGCGCAAAGCTATACAGAGAAACCCTGTCTCGAAAAACCAAAAAAAAAAAAAAAAAAAAAAAGCCACCAGCAAAACTTAGCAATGCCACTGGGTGGATCAAGTCTGACTAGTGAGGGCTATGTGTACAGCTTCCCTTAGCTTCAGCCCCCCAACACAGAATGCAAGAGCAGGATACCATCAGGGTTAATAAATGGCTTTATTTGCCTTGTACAGCATCAACTTTCTTACATTCTCAATTAATTTGCCATTAAAGTGCCAGACATTTCCTTTATCACGATGACATTTGTTAAAAGAAATCAGAGTTTTTCTCAGAACATGGCAGTCATAAATGAACACTTTTCTTACCAAACCCAGAATGGAAGCCCTTCACATTGACCTGGTGGGTTGGACAGTTTGCAGATTCAAATCCCCCTCTCACCTTGAGCACCAAACTAGGCTGGGACTAACACACCTGGGGATTAAAAGTCATGCTACAGATATTTGAGAAACACCACCCACTGGCTACCACCTCCTCTGAGCCATGTCAGTGGGCTGCTATTTGTACACATCCAACCTTCAGAGCAATGAAGACCTGCAACCTTTAATCTCACCCTCCCTTACTCACAAAAGCCCCCAAAGTCATTACAATGAAAAAAAAAATGGGTTTCCATTACCCGGGTACTAACAATGTTCAGTAAAAATAAGGATGATAAACACAGAAGCTTGCTTAGTAAACACGAGCTCTCAGCGTTCAATGCAAAAAAAGAAAGAAAAGAAAAAATAAGAAACAGAAAACTGAAATCTTAAGGCAAATACTGTTGACTTTGCACATGGGCCGGATGAATTTAGAACTCTTTACCTAGCTGCAGAGTCCCAGGGGCCTAGAGGCCCTTGGTTTGTCAGCCCTTGCCACTGATAAAGGCAAGATCTTTGCATTATTGCTGAGGCTGTTGGGGTGTTTCTCTTTGGCGTTTATATACAAACACACCCAAGGCTGATGTATTCTCATATATATATATATATATGTACACACAGACAAGGCCCCCTACTCTTTCTTTGTGGAAATTGATAGTTCTACCTCAGGAAGCTGGATGCCAACCTTCGTCCCACTGTCGTTGCTAGAGGAGGAAGACAGCCGGGACTTCTTTGAGGCCAAGGACACTCCGCTCCCCTGTAACTTGACTGCCTCGTCATCACTCCCAGTCACCTCATAATGACCTTTGCTCTTTGACCCCAACCCACCAAAGGTACCAAATTTCAGCTTCCCGTGTTTGCCTTTCGCTTCTCCACCTGCAAACTCCAAAGTCCCGGTTGGGGTGGAAGGCGCCGAGAACTCCCTCTCATCGCTGAAGGAGTTGGAGCGGTGTCTTGGCTTCTTACTTTTAAAGAGGGAGAATTTGCCTTTCGGTGAAGATGCTTCAGCGTCTGCTTCTCCTTCCAGAGAGCCCAAGCTGGCCTTTGAGCTCTTCAGGTCCCCTTTGGACCCAGAAATGGATGCTTCTGGTGATCCGGTAACACCGCCTTTCCCTTTAGGTTTGGAAAAATTAAACTTGGGCATTTTGATTTTGGATTTTTTAAGTTTTACTTCAGACTCTTCCCACTCGCCTTCTCCTGCACCAGCCTGCACATTGGCCTCTACTTTAGGGAAATTAACATCCACCCCTACTTCTCTGCCAACGAGCTCACGGCCAGAGAAGGTAAATTTGGGGATCTTCATCTTGGGGAATGTTACTTTTCCAGATCCACTTTCCAAGTGACCCTGAGGCCCAGACACACTCAGCCCAGGACCTTGGAGTCCAATCTGGCCTCCTTTCACACCTCCTTCTATCTTTGGTCCTGAGAAATGAAGGTTCCCAGCAAGTTTAGATGTATCCAAGTTTAGAGAGGAGGAGACTTGGGGTCCCTTCCATTCAGCCCCAGAGCCTTTGACACTCATATGCCCTTCACCCAGGTTGATATCTGGGACACCGACACCCCCTGAAACATCTATACCTCCTTTGACTTTGGGGCCCTTCAAGCTGACCCCAAAATCTGACTCAGGAGATGCTGTGTTAAAGGAAGGGCCCTTGACACTGATATCAGGGACAGCCCCATGGAGACCTATTCCTGAACCTTTCAGATCTCCTTTAATTTCAGGACCAGACAGCTGCCCCGTTGGGAGTTTCACATCACACCCAGAAGCCTTAATTCCAGGCATCTGGAGATTTCCTTCTAGGCCTTGAACACTGACACCCGGAAGGCTTCCCCCAACTGTTGGGCCTTTTAATTCACCAGCGGCCCCGAAGCCCCCCTTCACTTTTGGTCCTTCCATGTTGAAGTCCATGCTTGGAGCTGAGATCTGGGGCCCCTTCAGGTTCACATCCATGCCTGGCCCCCTTAGTTCTCCACAAACTTGTGGCCCCTTGATGTTAATGTCCAAGTCGGACCCCGGAGTGGAGATGCCGAACTGAGGCAGCTTCATGTGGGGAAGCTTGATACCACCTTCTGAGGCCTCCAAGCTGAGATCGGGAGCACCCACAGATACTTTAGGGCACTTGATGTCCCCAGACATAGCCAGATCTCCCTGTAGGCTTGGTCCCTTCAGTGTCACATCTGGTGCCCCCACATTGAGTGCTGTTGTAGCATCAATCCCTGACACTTTCACACCATCTCCTCCTATCTGCACTTTTCCACCAACACCTTGGAGGTCAAAACCTGGAGCATGCACCTTCATGCTGGGACTGGATGCGTCCAGATCTCCTTTCAAACTTGGTCCTTTCAAGTTCAGGTCAAGATCAGGCCCAGAAACTTTTGGCATAGAGAGGTCCACTGAAGGCAAGTCCACTCCTGGGCCTTTCAGAGACATATCAGGCCCTTCAAACTTCAAGCCTCCTTCAAGAGAGGGCATCTGGCCACAGATCTCAGTGCCTCCACCTTCCATTTTCACACCAGGGGCACTGATCTTGGGCAGTGAAAACTTAGGGAACTTGATTTTTCCTTCTGGACCTTGCAAATCTATGTCAGGTCCTTCCAGTCCCACACTGGGAGCATCACCCTTTATCTTTGGTCCTTTCAACTTAACATTCACATCAGGTATGGAGACTTGAGGAGCAGAAACACTGAACGAGGGTGCTTTGATTTTGGCGTCAGAGCCTTCAATATTGATGTCAGGTGTGTCCAAGTTTGCCTGAACCTTAGGACCTTTCAAGTTGCCCTCTATCTTTGGCCCTGAGACATCCACGCCTGGCACCTTGAGCTTGGGAGCCTTCACATGGATATCAGGAGCTTCCACATTAATCCCTGGTGAAGAAATATCCAGATCAGGTACCTTAATTTCACCCTCCAGCTTGGGGCTAGGTAGGGAAGCCTCTGCTTTAAATTTAGGTGACTTAATGTCAAATTCTACATCTGGGAAGTACATTTTCCCAAACATGGTTTTCTTGACCTTGGGAGACTTTACATCAACTTTGAGGGCAGCATCAGGCCCTGCAACACCGGCATCCACCTCAGGAGTCTTGAGACTGGCATCAATCTCGCCTCCAGGAACATTCAAATCGAATCCTTGCTTTTTGGCCTTAACTTTAGGGCCACTCATGTGAATTTTAGGCATTTTAAACTTGCTTTTCTTGCCCTTTCCACCAATGCTTACTTCAGGAGTCTCGACACTCAGCTCTGCTTCAGGGACAGTCACATCAACTGATGGTGTCTTGATGTCAGCTTTAGGGCTTTTGGCACCAAATCCAAACTTGGGTTTCTTAAACTTTGGAATTTTAACATCTGGCCCCTCGATATTAATATCTGGGCTCTCCATGTGGACATCTAGGCTTGGAGTTTCTAAATCAACTTTGGGCCCCTTGAGGTCCACTTCACCACCTCCTAACTTAGGCCCAGAAACTCCAATTGTTGGTGTCTTCAGGTGCAAATTAACATCAGGCCCAGTGACTTTAGGAGAAGATACATCCAGGGACGGCATCTTCAAGTTAGGGCCACTAAGTTTAGCATCAGGGCCTTCAAAATCTAGACCTGGACCTTTCAGGTCTACTGCAGGTCCTTTGAGACTACCTTCAATCTTAGGAATAGACACGTCAAAGTCTCCTTTTACTTTGGGTCCTTTTAACTCCAGATCTACATCAGGCATAGATATCTTTGGAGCCTTGATGTTAATCTCAGGCATCTTGAACTTGGGGCCCTTCAGTTTTGCATCTGGACCTTCAATATTCACATCTGGAACATCAATGTCCACCTTAGGTCCTGAGACATCAATGTCAGCCTTGGGCAGGCTCACATCCACTTCAGGGCCCTCTCCTTTGAAGCCAGGCATGCTGAATTTGGGCATTTTTATTTTGGGCATCTTCAGGTGCCAGTCTGGACCATGAACATCCACATCTGGAACATCAATGTCCACTTTGGGGCCTTTGATGTCAACTTCAGGAACTTT